AAAAAAAAAAAAAAAAAAGACAGAGCCTCACTTTGTTGCCCTCGGTAGAGTGCTGTGGCATCACAGCTCACAGCAACCTCTAGCTCCTGAACTTAGGATTCTCTTGCCTCAGCATCCTGAGAAGCTGGGACCACAGGCACCTGCTATGCCACAATGCCCAGTTTTGTTTTGTTTTTTTAGAGACAGAATCTCACTTTGTCACCCTCAGTAGGGTGCTACAGCGTCGCAGCTCACAGTAACCTCCAACTCCTGGGCTTAGGTGATTCTCCTGCCTCAGCCCCCTGAGTACAGCTGGGAGCTGGGAGCACAGGCATCCGCCACAATGCCCAGCTATTTTTTGTTGCAGTTTGGCTGCAACCAGGTTTGAACCTGCCACCCTTGGTATATGGGGCTGGCACCCTACTCACTGAGCCACAAGCATCACACAGGATTTTAAGTGGATCTAACACTTGTGCGCACCACAATTAGCAACAGGAAGTGGATCCAAAGGTAATTATAGTAATATACTATGATGTATAATTTTATGCAGTTATGATTTGGTTACTGTTGGGGTCCCTTTGTAGATGCCACTTATCAGGGCCTGAGACTGGTTGTTCTCCAGCCCCAGCCTATCTAGCTGTGTTCCAGACAGGGACCACTATGCTGTTATCTTGCTCAGGAACAATTGTTCTTAGGTGCCTGAGGGCTATTTACTTTAGCTGAGGGGGGAGAGAGAGTCTGAGAGAGTAAAGCAGTCTTCTTAGAAAGATAGATCTTAGTCTTTAGCAGAGCTTAGTGATCTTCAGCAAAAAGATGCCATGCTAGCATTTTGCAGGCAGGAGAGGAGACAGAGTCAGAGTGAGCAGGTCCATAATAGGATGAACTCACTCCCAGCTGCCTTCTCCTCCTGCCTAATATAAGGCTGATCTGGTGCCTCTCAACACCACAGGTGTAGAGACTGCTAAATTCCACCCTATGCCCTTTTCACCAAGGTGTTCCATTATTGAGATATACAGGTGTTTCTTATAACTCTCACTCCTCCTAGCCATAGGCTATATGGGCTGCTACAGGTTACATTTCTCTCAAGTATGAATGACATCAGGTATGATTTGTGATTTTTTTTTTTTTTGAGACAGAGCCTCAAGCTGTCCCCCTGGGTAGAGTGCCATAGCATCACAGCTCACAGCAACCTCCAACTCCTGGGCTCAAGCGAGTCTCCTGCCTCTGCCTCCCAAGTAGCTGGGACCACAAGTGCCTGCCACACACCTGGCTATTTTTTGATTGCAGCCATCATTGTTGTTTGGCAGGCCCGGGCTGGATTCGAACCCGCCACCTTAGGTGTATGTGGCTGGCACCTTGGCGGCTTGCTTCACAGGCACCAAGCCATGATTTGTGATTTTTGATAAATTTTAATTTTTTATAATAGATTTGTGTATATTGTATGGAAGTAAATTCTAAAATAGATTAGTATCTACATATATTTTCCCATATATTTATTGAAAAACATCTGGATAGGCTCAGCGCCTGTGGCTCAAGCGGCCAAGGCGCCAGCCACATACACCTAAGGTGGCGGGTTCGAATCCCCAGCCCAGGCCCGCCAAACAACAATGATGGCTGTAACCAAAAAAATGGCCAGGCGTTGTGGCTGGCGCCTGTAGTCCCAGCTACTTGGGAGGTGGAGGCAGGAGACTCACTTGAGCCCAGGAGTTGGAGGTTGCTGTGAGCGTGATGCCATGGCACTCTACCCAGGGGGATAGCTTGAGGCTCTGTCTCAAAAAAAAAAGAAAAAGAAAAAGAAAAAGAAAAACATCTGGATATATGTGGATCCAGAGTTTAAATCTTTTTTTTTTTTTTTTGAGACAGTCTCACTATGTCACCCTCCGTAGAGTGCCATGGCATCACAGCTCACAGGAACCTCAAACTCTTGGGCTCAAGAGTTTCTCTTGCCTCAGGCTCCTTTGTAGCCTGGACTACAGGTGCCCACCACAACACCTGGCTATTTTTTTTGTTTGTTTAGCAGGCTCAGGCTGGGTTCGAACCCACCAGCCCCAGTGCATGAGGCCATTGCCCTAACCACTGAGCTATGGTGCCAAGCCCTTAAACCTGTTTTGTTCAAGGGTCAACTGTACTCTGAAAATAATGAAGGGGAAGCTTAGGATATGCCTGGACTCTTCCTGACATTCTGAAATTTTATTTGTTTTTTGAGACAGGGTCACTATGTCACCCTTGGTAGAGAGTCGTGGCACACAGCTCACAGCAACCTCAAACTCTTGGGCTTAAGTGATTCTCTTGCCTCAGCCTCCCGAGTAGCTGGGACTACAGGTGCCCGCCACAACCATGGCAATTTTTTTGGTTGCAGCTGTCGTTGTTTAGCAGGCCTGGGCTGGGCTCCAACCTGCCAGCTTTGGTATATGTGGCTGGCGCCCTACTCACTGAGCTACAGGTGCCTAGCCCCATTCTACAATTTTAAACTTGTGAGATAATTAAGCACAAAAATCCTTAGTGTTACTTACAATGGTGACCCTCTGATATACTTTACAATAAGGATTTTGAAGTCACTACAGTATATTCATAGCTTCTTTTACCTTACTGACTCAGAACATCCTGGCTTACATGATACAGAACATAAAAATCTTTATATTTGTTCTACAACTGGACCCAAAACCATTTAATTTCATCATAAGGGCTACCCACATGTGAAAAGAACAGTATCTCTCCTCAATTTCAAAATCACTACTACCAATAAGAATAGTGTTCTCTGCATGCCACTTTAGTCACATTTCTCCACACGTCATTCATAAACAGCATCTTCTAGGACAATAATTTCATGTCCATTCCTTTAGGTCTTGTCACAAAACTTCTCCGCTTCAAAATTAAATCCCCAGGGCTGGGTGCTATGGCTTACACCTGTAATCCTAGCACTCTGGGAGGCCAAATTGGATGGCTTGAGCTCACTGGTTCGAGACCAGCCTGTGTAAAACTGAGACCTTGTCTCTACTAAAAAAATAGAAAAACTGAAGCAAGAGGATCGCTTGAACCCAAGAGTTGGAGTTTGCTGTAAGCTATGACTCCACAGCACTCTGCCCAGGGCCACAGCTTGGGTCTCTGTCTCAAAAAAAAAAAAAAAAAATTAAATCCCCAAAGGACAGGTTCCATACATTGTTTCCATTTTCATAACCATATGTATCCTCAACTCATTAAAAGCTGGATTTAATTTTCTCACCTTTATAGTTGTGCAAAGAAGAGGAAGAAGATAGAAGTCACTGATGAGGACAACTAAGACTTTGCATGATATAATTCTCCATAGGTTGTTAGTTTATTTATTTATTTATTTTTTGCAACAGAGTCTCTGTTGCCCAGGCTAGAGTGCCATAGCTCACTAACAGCAACCTCAAACTCCCCGCTGAACCGATTTTGTTACCTCAGCCTTCCCACTAGCTGGGACTGCAGGCACCTGCTGCAACAACCGTTGATTTTTCTGTTTTTAGTAGAGATGGGGTCTCATTTTTCCCTAAGCTGGTCTCAAACTCCTGACCTCAAGCAATCCACCTGCCTTGGCCTCCCAGAGTACTAGTATTACAGGTGTGAGCCACCCTGCTGGGCTGGTTGGTTGGTAGAACGCTCAATATGACTCTGTTGGTTTCTTGTCTGCATCCAGTTAATGTTGGATTGGTTCCTTTCATTTATCTATCTATGCTCATTCTTTTAATGGTCTCACCCAGTATCATGAAGTAACAATGTAAGTTAACTCCCAAATTTACATAGCCAGCCTGTAACCTTCTGCCAATGTTCAATCATAGTTGACTTGCTTATGTGACCTGGACGCTTATAGTTTCTCACAGACATTTTTAAACGATCATGTTGAAAATTGTACTCCACCTTTCCTCTTAAGCCACCACTACCTGCTGTCTCCCCTCTTCCAGGCACGACAAATCCACCCTACGTGTAATTTCTCAAAAGTCCGTACATCCTGTGGAGAAGGTGTTGGGCAAAAGAAGGCCCAGGACAAGCTGGTGAATCTGATCCCAACATTTTGGAGTGAACTCTGGCGACCTCCTTTTTGGCGGATATCTTAACTGCTCATGTATCTGTTTTCCTTATGACAGAATCCGTCTATTAGGCAACATGAGCAGGAAGTCACGTGCCCAGTGAATAGACCCACTAAGAACCTTTGCACTCACTTCGCCTGACCTCGGGTGAATGTTCCTGCCTCCTGGGTCTCAATCTCCCAGAGCATAGAAAGCGTCGTTTGGGATCGGCGCCTGTGGCTCAAGTGGCTAAGGCACCAGCCACATACACCTAAGGTGGCAGGTTCGAATCCAGCCCGGCCCGGCAAACAACAATGCTGCAACCAAAAAAACAGCAGAGCGTTGTGGCGGGCACCTGTGGTCCCAGCCACTTGGGAGGCGGAGGCAGGAGACTCGCTTGAG